CAGTTATCAGTGAGCTGTTTCATAAACCATTTTCATATTACAAGTATTTGTACAGTGAATCTGTATGTAACCTGCATGTATACTTATTATTGTAAGAAATACAAAAGTGAATTCTAAATCCTGTCTTTTATATTAGAAATTATAATTTTGATGTTAACAAATTCTGGTTCCTACAACAACAAAAATTACCAAGCAATGTCATAATTATTTTCACTTGGGAGTTGGACACAATTGTTTACTGTATCTTTGAATATGTTCTTATAAAACTTTATCATAATAAATGATCGCCATAAATAAATATCTAAAAAAATTATAAATTGGTTGGCTAAATGTCCAGCAAGGCCAGTTATTTGTAACTTTTACATGGCATGCTTTAATTTTCCTCATCCTGCACTATACATACAGTATATACTCACCTGTAAGGCGAGTAAAACTGCTAAGAACGATGATCTTTATGTTCCATAGTATATTGCGCCTGCAGATCATGGTCCATGTTTCTTGTTGTAATGATTACTCCAAAGAAATTGCATAGATCCATATCTAATGGGGCATAATGTGCCGTCATATCTGGGTCTGTGCAGTCTGTAGTTGTACTCATTAATGAGTATATACGGTACTATGGAATTGGCTTAAAACATCACATGTACAAAACTGTGTGAGCATCTTGAAATTGTGACTTGCATTTCCTTAGCCACCTCTTGTCAATAACGTCAATAACAGCTGATGAGTGGAATTTTCAAGCACTACTAATGCATTGCAATTACAGGTGTGTGAAGAACAGTACAGACAGTAAATAGTGTCACCCACCTGAACAATTAATGACCTGCAGGTTATCACAGCAAAGTATGAAATGCCTTCTTATACAATCTGTTACTATGTAACACTTTTCATTAATAATGTGACCAATAAAAATTAGGAGAAAGTGTAGTGAACCTAATTTAAAACATACAATTAAACACTGCATGTGTGTATAATATGGGACTAAAAGATTATTCAGTATAATATGGGAATTTTACCCTATTCAGTTTAATGAATTTTGTTATCTGTTCATTCAAGTGTACAGTGTATCATATGTAAATGAACAAATAATGTTCAAGACTGCTACCAAGTTTGCTTTCTTTTTACATAGAAAATCATTATCAAATCACAATATTACTTTCTCACTTCATTTTCAAGAAATTCTAAAAGATGAGAAAAATCTCAAATAAAATCAAGAAATTCAGAAATAAAATTTCAACATACGAAATATATGTGTACTACTGAGAGAAATGAAAGATAAAATATTCTTTCTACTGCTTGAATACATGATTAGACACATAACAAAATAACAAGATGAATTACAAAGTATCAGAGGGATGGGATCACTAATTAAATAGTGTCCCATGCCAAGATCTTATTAAATTAATTTTTTAAGAAAAGCCCTAAATCATGATATTGTTTTAACAATGTGAGTTAAGCTTAACTCTGGCACATACTTCATTATAGAGAATGCTGCTACCATGTGTACTTGCTTATAACTCTAGTCAAATTGCAAACAAGAGATCCCAATCTGTCATAGCATAATGTGCCTGCAGATCAGGGTATATGTTGTTTGTTCTACTAATTATTCCTAACAAACATCCCCATCTGTCATGTATTATTGGATTTCAAATTAAAATTCATAGAATTATAGAGTTCACATTTGCCATAACATAAAATCTTTATAAACAAATGTGAAGGGCAATAATAAAACTTTTGAAACAAAGTAAAATAACTATTTATAAGAAAATGATGAACTAAGATTGTATTGACTATAGCTGCACAATATTTTTTAACATCAAAGGTTTCTAACATTTTCACAAGTCTTTACACTGCAACCAAATATTTTTTTTTTATGAAAGTGTTCAGCTGATGTACTTTTCATAAATTGCTGATGCTTCATCATGGGCAACAAAGAAAAACCAAAAACAAGATACTGTTCTTTTCTTTATTCATATGGTTGTCTATTAATTTAGTTTAAACAGCAAAGCAAACTAAAACTGAATACAAAAGAGCATCACAGAAAACCTTTGTCTATTTAAGCACTTATATGTATAGTTTAGAAAAATCTTTACAAAATGAATTTAGAAATTTGTAAAGAACTGTTATGAATAATTTGCACCTGTTTTGCCACATTACATTTTAAATACACACAAATACAAACCTATGGTAATATGGAAAATATTTGACTCTTAGATGCTATAGTTTGTATGGTGCGGTTCTGATTATCTGGTTTGGCTGAGCATCAGTCACTTTTAGTGACATGGTTAATTATCTATTACAATTTCTGTGACAGGTAAATAAGGTTTGCTTGCACTGTATTCTTAACAGTTATGAACAACAACCAAATGTTATGTATATACCAATGGATCTTGCTAATTTATGGCACATTTAGAAGAATAAATGACTATATATATTAACAGCTTAACAATCATGACCTTGCTTCCATTATAAACTTAGTTGATTAAAAACATTACATGTAAGAAATGAACTCTTTTATTCCCCTCTTCTGTTCTTTTAAATGTATATCATAACAACTAAAGTTCTTCCTTTTTTCCTTTTTTTACAATTGTATTTCCTTCATTTCACAATTTCCATCAGTCAAGTTTCTATATTTAGTATCATCACAAAACACCCAATCAAGGAATACAATGAAGTACTGTTGAATCATTCACCAACTAAGAAGAGTACTCAAATGTTCAAGCATGTATATTAACACCATAGCTTGACAGCTTCATAATTGTCTTGTTTAAAGCATCCCCAACTAAGTTATAACAGTATTCAGATGTTTCTACCTGTGTAACACCAAAACTCAACAGCTTCATTTTTGTCTTTCCCTATTCACCTGGTAAGGTCAAAATAGTTGTCATGTAAGTTCTAAAGAATTAAATATGACCTTTGACACTGAGAAAGGTAAAGACATTTTAGTGAATATGAGGTGTGTGTCATCAGGTAACTTACTACACATGACAAAAAAAATGACTATCTGTAAAAGTAATTGTTAGAAATGGTTCTATTACTCATAATGACAAAAAATGTATAGAAATAACATGAAAATGACATTAATTACTGTATTTGCCAGTTTATATATTTACATCTAAATAATTCGCTGGAGGATTAATAGTATAAAATAATTAATTATATTAACATGTTGTCTTGTTCTCTTATTCCATTATACCAAGTAACTCTGATAAGCCAGATACTCTCTTGATCAAATTTTTGATTCACATCTGGCATGCAGAGATAACATGACAGTTTACATATCCATGTAAGAGTACTTAAGTTATCTAACAGAAGGAAATAAATGAAGGATACATTTCATCCACCATGATTCCTGATGAAGTATATTGGAACTATAATGATAATCACCATACATGTGTTTCTCGAATTTCTCCAATTATGTGACTTGCTCTCTGCAGTGCCTGGAATACAAGACAGAAAAACTTTTATCAGTAGTTAATGGCCAATACATTACAGTAGGTAATATTTATCCTAGATGATTTTACAATAGAATTTACCATGTACAAGTAAGATCCAACTCTCAACTGCACAGAGCCAGATTTGGGTCTATGCAGTTGAATGGGACTAATCAGCAAAGCATACAACCTCATCTGTTGGTTCATTAAGTGATGGAAAATCAGAGTGTATGTTGTTTTTGCAACTGGACACCAAATTTATAAACAAGTATATGAAGTATATGCCCCTTGTCATAGCAAAAGAAAAATATTGGACCACATGAAAAATTTTGAGGTATCAGTAAAATTTCTCAACTGATTTTCCTCAGAAAACCAGAGAATAACTAGATATTAAGAACTGGATTTAAATCTGTACTCTGCTCAAGGCAGAAATTCCTTAAATGAGAGTTTATTATGAGCAGATTCCACTGATGGTTTGTTGTTATGGGTTTAACACTTTTTTTAAGCACATGATAGGTTGGTTATTCAATATGACCTGTATATTTGGTGGAGGAAGCAGCTGGAATCTTCTCAGAAAAAAACCATGGAGTTTCAAGGGAAGCTACTGGCAAAGTTTTCTCACATATCCATATTGGCCATGAGGTGAAATGTCAGTGATCTGTACTTTAGATCACTTGGGGCTCAAGATTAAAACATAAGTACAAAAGTTATATATAATATGCAACAAATCTTTTTTGTAAAGTTATCCAGAAATATATGACTGCCTTGTGCTGTTGTTGGGAATTATGTTTATATGAATAGTTAAATGAAGCAAACTTTTGAGAACATCAAAAAGATTTCATTCTGTTCAATTGTGCAGACAACAGGATGAATTATGCTTACTTCATACATTATAAAAGCTGCTTAACTTCTGTGTAAAGCAAGAACTATGCTCATGAAACATGATTGACCTATCACTAAGAAACCAACAAGTAAAAGCAAAACCTAATATGATGGATGAATATTATATACTCCAAACACACTCATGGTAGGAAATAAATAGACCAAGGATTGCTAGTCAAGAGAAATGTTTGTTACTGCATCATTTAGCTATGAACTTTGAATTTTTTACCTGGAGATCAGTGAAAATCTCTCCCACCTCCAACAACCTTAACCCAAAGTAAGGTAACAATGTAGCAAAGATAACAGTGAACCATTCTTGAAGAGAGACAAATGTTAGAAGCATTACTACTTCATGGTTGATAATATTGGTCCTGCAAGCTATGCTCTTAGTGACAGGGTTTTGCAGTTGGCAACACAAATGTTGGGATGACAACAATATTCTAAATTATGTGTTTGTGTGTGTGATTTGGATTTTTAACATAGCTTCAACAATTTTTTGGTCATATTGCTATGATGTCTGCAGTGTGGCAGTTTATAGTGATATCTAGCACTGGGGAATCATGCCGAATGATGTCCCACCCAGTCACATTATCCTGACACCAGGCCAACCAGTCCTAACAATAACCTCTTGATACTGAACGCCAAGTGAGGCAGCTATTAGTACCATTTTGGTAAGTTTTTATATGACTCAGCCAGGGATTGAACCCATGACCTCACACATTTGAGGCGAATGCTCTAACCACTAGGCCACATGAGCAGTCTTTTGAATTATGTGGAAGTGTCAGTCTTTAGAGTGCTTTGACTCACCTGACAGTGCTTCAGACTGTCAGTCTATAAATATTTCTGGTTCACTGCCTCAGTTGCCCAGAGCTGAAGATTGACTTAGACTAGCTTTATATTTTCAGGTGCACTACCCAAACTGCCTTAAGCTGTACAATAATTCAGAAAGGCAATCTTTTCATTTTCATGTGCAGTCTTTAGTTGCCTAAAGCTGTACACTGATTTAGGCTGTCTCTTTATTTTTGTATACTGTCTGAGTTGCCTAAGAGCCTAATGGACTGTCAATTTTGTTATTGTTTTGTACATGGCCTGAGCTAAATATTTTATGTTTTGTTTTGTGATTTCATTGCCAATGAGTTGGTACAATGAAAAAGGAGAGAGAGCAACTAACTCAATATTAGTTGCTATGGTTAATCAAGATTGAAATTGAAAGAAGCTTTACTTCTGTGGATAATCTTTAGTCAACTCATTCACCATTCAGTTGGTGTTATGGCTCTCAGCCTTTTTACATGACCTCATGATCTTTATCTTGTATAGGAATAATTTTACTTAATGTCACACATGTGATAAGGAAAAAGGAAGCAAACACAGGGATCTCTTGACGGAGATTTCTGCTTATTACAATTTTTTTTCTTAACCTAAACAACCCTAATTAAAAAGTGCACCTACCTAAATTTTACAGATTATTATTGAGGATTCAGCTTTGGCTGCTGGCATCTTGAATGAAGAACTTCATAAACTTCTTACATGGAGAGATTATGGGCTTGTCAATTTTATTCCTAACATAACTAAATCAACAATCACATCTGGAAAATCTCATCATGTATATCACCCTCCACATTTAATGAACAATACAGATATTAATTAAGCAAATTTTAACAAAACCCTACATTATAAGCATTACATTTAATGTCATCTGTATCTTTTAATGCATGTACCTGTTACAGAGTTTTAAAATCTTTACATTCTTGGTGGCTTCCAACCCCCAGTGGTCATGTAGTCTAAGGCACTTGCCTTTACAGATACTGCGATCTCACCTCTGTCCACATAGGTTCAAGTCTAGGCATAGAGAACATGGGCATGCGATAAAGCCTGCCAGTAGCCTCCTTGGTGTTGGTGGTTCTTTCTGGGGTTTTGTCCAAGTTCTTCATCCACCTAACATACTGGCTGCCATGTATAGCCTATCATGTGCTGAAAAATGGTGTCTTGTGGTATTTCAGGCCTACATTTAATCTGAAGGGTTTGTCTCCTGTAGTTTTTTTGCAATTTTTTTTATATTTACAATTTTGAAGTTTACCTTTTAACTGATACAATATGGCCAGTATTGTTCTATGATGCCTTTAAACTCTAACAAATGCACATGCAGATAAATAACCATGAATTTTTATGTTTAACTACTGATAAATCTCTCTCTTGGCACACAATAAATAACTGCAACATTTAAAAGGATCAACATACCATTAAGTTTGAAATTCAAACTCAACGGAAAATCATTTGAAGCTGTCTGGTTCTCTGTTGTAAAACCATTTGGAATAAGGGGATACAATTTGGGAAAATTGTGGACAATACGAAAAATATGAAATTGAAAAACATAGGCTGAAGCAAGTGGGGTTACATATATTGCCATAAAATCTAAATCACATGTCCAGTAGGTAATTAATAAACAACTTGGAATATCAACTCTATAGACACCATTTGCTAGGACAAACTTATGCCAAAACTCTTTCTAACCAAAGTCTGTTATTTAACAGAACCTTCTTTCACCAAAACTTATAAATAACAGTAACTTACAAAAGGTACCAGCCTATTACTGCTGAGGTAAAAAATGTACCAGCCAATTACTACCAAGATCAATAAATGGTATCGATTTATTACTACCAAGGCAAAAAAGGAACTAGCCTATTACTACCAAAGTAAAAACGAATTACCCGCTTGTTACTTCCAATATAAAACTACTGTGGTAGACAAAAGGTACCAGTCTATTACCAGACCTGCCAACCATAACAAAACCATATCAATAAGCAGTTGATTTTTGTTTTCTATAGGTGATTAGTTTTCAGTAAGGTGTAACAAAATAGCATTTACTATATTGTCAAGCCGGAAAACATACATTTTAAAGTCAAGAAGCATGATTCAAGACTGATGCAGCAACGGTAAACATTGAGGTCAACTAAAAATTTTGTGAAGCTGACTTGAACCTTAATTATCTCCAGTACAATTTCATAAACTGCAGTTCTAAACCCTACAGAGCTCAATGGCTTCTTACTATCTCCCAATTTGATGTAATCCTTTAATAAACTTTAACCTGGGCTCTGGTAACGGCACTCATCTTTGTCACCATGAGGCATACTCGGAATCAACACATGATGTCCACTAAATGTAAGTATGCCCTTCATGCTTTTTTCTCCAACAATCTAAATATTCCCTTTTATTCTTCTACACCAAACTATAAAAACTTTTTATGAGGTTTATTGACCCTTTCAGCCTGAAAATGTATCGCCTGCTGGATGCCATTAAAAAAAATAAGCAGTACCTTGATCATGCAGATGTTTTGCATCACAAAATATGTGCAGTTTAAAGCGTCTGAGATACACAATAAAGTTAATCTGGTTCCTTGACCAAACAAGGGCAAGCCAGTATCTCGATTTTACCACAGTCTTATTTCAGTAATTTGTGCTTTTATTCTGTAAGTCTATATTTTAAGGGTAATTTTCATAGGGCATGCAGCAAAATCATTAGAGTTGGCAAGTCTGTATTACTGCTAAGGAAGAGAAAAGGTATACTAGCCTGTTACTATCAAGGTAAAGAAGTGATCAAATTCTACTTTACTCAATTGCAATCAGGTTGTCTAATTTATTCATCGCAGATCTTTTAAAAAAAATCATTCTCAATTGATGAAAAATGTTCAGAACTGCTGAACACTTTCATTTAGATAATGCATTTAGATTGTCCTAAACTTAGTATGTTCTGTATTGGTCACTAACTGAAGGATAACGATAATAAATACTGTTTCATCATATGAAGAAAGGTAATTAAAATAAATAGATATAAAAAAACTGACAGGTTTTATGGTATTTTCTCACATACCTGTACCATTTCCTGTGCCTCTTTTCTTCTTTGGGCAATATGTTCAGATTCCTCAAGTAACATGTCAATCTCTTCCTGCTTGTACAGCTGCCTGACAAGCTCACTCTGCAGATTGTCCTTGACATTGTTCACCAGAAAATGCATAATGGCTTTTGGTACTGAGTCCTGTATGTTCTTCCTCACAATTAGGAAATAGGACTTGATTAGTCGCTCTGTAATAAAAAGAAAACTTTGGATAACAGCTGAGGTTACATTTAGTAGGTCTCGATGGATCTTTATCACATTATTGATATGACATTTTTTTTAACTATATCGTGTATGATAAATACATACATACATACATACATACATACATACATACATACATACATACATACATACATACATACATCCATACAACTAAAAATAACATGGCTTTTAAAGTGTTGGTACAAGCAATTTGATATACCAATACGGTTGACATATAAGATTGTGATTCATTCATGGGGTATAAATATGCATATATTTACTGTTTCAATAGAAATGTAGTGTTTCCAGTGTAGACTATTGCTTCTGTACTCTGTAGATTAGAGATGAATTTCCACTCATTACTTTATTAATAAAAAACAGTAAAGTAATGAAAAAAATTCCTGTTTGTAATAAACTAAAACATGTTACAAAACTTTAATGAAATATCCTCTGCTCTCTCTCTCTCTCTCTCTCTCTCTCTCTCTCTCTCTCTCTCTCTCTCATATGCTATAATGGACAAAAACACATGGAAATCTGTGGAGTGAGATAGAAAAAAGAAATTGAGCCAGAAGAAAACCTTGAAACTGAACTTAAATCACGTAAGGAGACAGAGTCCTTGCAACTGTAATTGTACTCTCTACAGTCTTACATGATACCAATGATACAAAGTTGCAAAAGCCTGTGGAGATGATTTGGCTGAACAGTAAAAGCACATAATGTAATCTACTTAAAGCTTTATGTTTTAAAACAATAATACAAAGCAAATATCTGATCCTGATACAACATGTAATTTCTAAGTGTTCATATGAAGTCATCATTCAACTAAAAATACTTAATTATTTTCTACTAGTTTTCTGAATAAATTAACAGAAATGTGTTTGCATGATACAATGACATGTTAAGACTGTCATCATGATACTAGATGTGTTTGTATGATACTGATATCATGTTAAGATTGTCATCATGATATTAATGTCATGTTAAGATTGTCATCATGATATTAATGTCATGTTAAGATTGTCATCATGATATTTATGTCATGTTAAGATTGTCATCATGATATTTATGTCATGTTAAGATTGTCATCATGATATTAATGTCATGTTAAGATTGTCATCATGATATTAATGTCATGTTAAGATTGTCATCATGATATTTATGTCATGTTAAAATTACCATCATGATATTAATGTCATGTTAAGATTGTCATGATATTAATGTCATGTTAAGATTGTCATCATGATATTTATGTCATGTTAAGATTGTCATCATGATATTAATATCATGTTAAAATTACCATCATTATATTAATGTCATGTTAAGATTGCCATCATGTTATTAATCCCATCTTAAGATTGTCATCATGATATTAATGCCATGTTAAGATTGTCATCATGATATTAATGTCATGTTAAGATTGTCATCATGATATTAATATCATGTTAAAATTACCATCATGATATTAATGTCATGTTAAGATTGTCATCATGATATTAATGTCATGTTAAGATTGTCATGATATTAATGCCATGTTAAGATTGTCATCATGATATTAATGCCATGTTAAGATTGTCACCATGATATTAATGCCATGTTAAGATTGTCATCATGATATTAATGCCATGTTAAGATTGTCACCATGATATTAATGCCATGTTAAGATTGT